GGTGAAGCCAGCTCCCAACAGCTTTATTCTATTGTCTCTTCAGAGAATGACCCAGACAGTGCTGTAAGCAGCTGCCATCTGTTTCCACTGTTTTTAGCCCCTCCGAAAGGGTGTCTTTAATCTATCCATCTGTAGTTTTCCAAGCGACAGACAAAACCATAGGGCATTAGCAACAGCCTAAGAGACGGGAAAAATATAACAAGGCTCAGCCAGGAGGGTATTGGCTGGAGCTCTGAGAATAGCTTTGGGTTCTGCCTACTGAGCAGGCCAACCGCATCCACTGTCAGGTCTGCTTACCTGGCGCTGGGGGGCTCGGCAGCCACAGCAGCCCACTGACCCACACTGGGTTTCAGTGCAGCCAATCCATCCTCAGACACGGCAGGCATTTAGAGGAATCTCCTAAATGCAACTTAAATGTATTTTTAAACCCTCTAAATATAATCTTTATTAATCAAAGACACCATTGGGCCAGTGCCTTTGTTTCAGGCAGTGGAATTTTCCCCAGATAGCTGCCACTTTTTCATGTAAATCCAAGATGCCACTGGGGCTAAGCCAGCTGCATTCTTGAATATACTGAGGCCATCTGACAAGTGAGGCTGGTTGGGCCCTTCTCACTTGGTAGTCATGAATCTGTCTGATCCACTCCAAATGAAAGTATCAGGCCGGCTGGCTCGGGTGTTTAGTTGTGACAAGAGCCCCGTAGTCTGCTAATAGCTGTTTTTCAGAAAGGGGAAGGGGCAAGGGAGGTCGAGACACTATCCCTGTCCTTCAAGGGTGCTTACACATCCCCCAAAAAACAGTCTAGGATGCAGGGAGTCGGTGCCTCCTTAGAAAGAACTGCAAGATATCTATGGAGAATTGTCTCCCAACAAGTATAAATTGTAGAAAAAAGGAAATAATGCAAAAAAAAATTGTAAAGGTTTTGTTATTTGTGCTGGAAGCACTCAGACTTGTGGTGCAATACTCTGGTCCCTAACTTATAATCAAATACCCAAATATTTAGGAGCTTTTACAGATTTCTCAAGCTTACCAGTACCAGCTCTGACCATCTCGATCCACTTCACAAACTTATCAAAATAGATAAAATGCTTGGGCAGTCCATCAACACCTAACTCAAGTACCATTTACATTTTCAATTTTAATTTTCCTTTCAGCCTTTTTTTTTTTTTTTTTTTTTAATTTGACTAACTTCACACATAAGCCCAGCTAATCTCCACTGCTGCATGTTAGACAAAATAGAGTTCTTCCAATAAGCCCTCAGGAGAGACTCAGGAAGGCTTGATTAAAGGAGAGATTTTTAAAGTCATAGAGGTCAAAGCAGATTCCTTTTTAGGCAATTCAGTTCGGCATTACTGCAATATGATTATCTCAGCACGAACATTCAAATTCTAGAACAAAAATATACTAAGTACATCCTAATAACCCAAGAAATAGGCTAGCAGTTACACAAAGTGAAGCAGGCTTATCTTAACATTCATCTAGTAAGCCTCATTTTGTTCCATGACCCAGGCTTCTTAAGAGACTGCCATGACAATGCAGCCTGCATCCCCCTAAGAGCCTGTCTACAACGGCTTATGAAGGAGGGGATAAGAGCCAAATTCCAGGTTGGCCTCAGTTATGTCTAAATGTCAATTTGCTTATCCCCCACAGTGAAACATGTGAACGTCCTGAGGCAGACCTCTCTTAAGGGAATAGGGTCAGGTTCCCCAGTAAGCTTTGTTACCCCAAAGGAGGCCAGGAATGTGCTGTCTCTATGATTCTATGGCTAGAGAGAATCACGGGTATGTTTATCATTCCATTACAATTCTTTACACTCTAGACCTTATGTTCTCAAACCACTGTTTTAGAGAAGATCTCAATGTTTTAGTAAAGTACAAACATCATCAGTCTAGTGTTATTGTGGCCATGTGTATGTTCTGGATTAAGGCACTTTTTTTGTTTGGATTACAAACCACATGACTTGATAAATATCTGAGAAAAATGGGAGTGGGTGAGTTGGACATGAAAGTAGACTTTCACTTATTCTATGAATACAATCCTTCTAAGAAAAAAGATTCTTACAAGTGTTTAGTTTTCTAAATAACTTTATAATGGAGCAAAACCATACTCCTGTAAAAACAGTCAAGGTCTTTATTCTGGTGTAATATTCCATTTTGGTCAAACAGGAAAATCAACAATAAGGTCATCAATGTTCTCAGCAAAAGCCATGTCCGTTTCTACCCCACGTGTCATTAATGAATTTGTTTGTTTATGCCGTTTCATCAACAGAGGGTTTTTTACTTCTATTAGAACCACTAACATCAGCTTGGTTCCATTGTTTTCTCAAGGGGAATTTATTAAAATGGGGTAGAAAGATCACCCCCCCCCCAATAAAATGTCACCTTCAATTTCCAATACATAAATATTGTTTTATATATCTATCTCTTTGGACTAGCAATACTTGATAATACTTCCAGCATAGGATGTCAGCAGTTTTCCTAACCCAAAGGACTAAGGCCTTTGATTTAAGAGCTGGATTTGCTTATATTGGCATCTAGATCACAACCTTAACATCTAATTTCCTGATGTTAAAAAATAGTCAGATCCCTGCTTCTTTAACTTAATTATAATAGCAGTATAAAACATATTACCTCAAACACTGTTTCCATGCCTAAAGCTTTTAAGGCACATTTTGCATTCAGTACTATGAACACATTCACTACAATGCATCTGACATGTTAAGTCACACTCTCCTTTACCTATTAGACTTGAAATAAAGTTCTCCTTGGTTGTAATACCATTCTGCCTTAATATGCAGGGAATCTGAAGTTTTAAGTGAGTTTTCTCCACAAGGAAATAGTGGTAACATTCACTTACCTCCCAGAATTTAAACAGTTTGAAAATGTTTTATTACTCAATCTTTGTATTTAAAGAATTACTCATAAGGAAGTTAGTGGTGAGCTGGCCCAAACCTGGGTCACTCGGGGGCAGGAAGTGGCTGAGAAATTTGTAGCAGATTTTAAACTCTAAAATCTGCTGGCCACTTTGGCTAAACACACCAAAGACCACCTACTCTACTATTCCCTCCCAGCTATCACAGCAAAAAATCCCCACCAGAAAGGGTAAGAAAGAGGTTGCTTCTGATGCAACACCACCAAGGTAACCGTCTGGATTTTATGGGTATTTAATGTATGCCAGAAAGAAAAATTATACATTTTGTCATATTATAAACATTAAATAGGCCAGCCCACAGACCACCTAGGGCTCCCTCACAGATTATACCATAAATTCATACTACAGGAACTATCCAAAATGTAGCCATTTTGCTAGATGATTATTTCTAGTAAGTGCATGAAGAATACACATAAAACTAAAGCAATCCTGGAAATGATCTGCTGCACCTTATGCAATAAGCAATAATATCCTGAAACCAGAAAATAAAGTATTTCTTTTTCAAAGGACTTGGGACCTCTACTCTAAAATAAAAATAACTACGCAAATTCACATTCCAAGACAGGTGACTTTCACTCACTGGTAAACTGGAAAATAAGCCTCACAATAATGAAGACCTCAATGAGTGATATCAAGATATAATTTAAAATATGTTTTAGACTCGGGGTGGTAAAGACACAATATACAGATGATGTATTGTAGAACTGTATATCTAAACCTGAATATAATTTTATTAACCAATGTCACTCCGATAAATTCAAAGAAAAATAAAATATTTTTAAATGTTAGATAATTTTTAAGGACAACAATTAATGTCGCGATGTTTCCAGAACTACTTGGACTTGCCTTTGTGACAACCAAAAAATGGTACAAGGCTAAAATTTCTAATTCCAAATTTAGTCAGTTCAAACTCGCCCCCCATATAACCTCAAAAAATTTTAAGTAAGATGGTTTATAACAGAAATACTGAAAATAAATCATCCTTGAATACTTTTAGATTTCCCCCAGTGTACCACAAATCACATCCAGAAACCCAAACAAAACAAGCACTGAAACGCTTGAGATCAGCCGCTGAATCAGAGCTGCAGGAAAGAAAGGACGGCCTACGTGACGGCCGCGCGCTCTGCGTGGGCAGCGCTCTCTCGGAGCCTCAGCCAGGCACGTTCCAGTGAGTCAATAAAAGTCAGCAGTGACACTAAAACAATAATAATAACATACATAAGCAGAGGCTCAGGTTGGAGGGAGGGGGATCCTTCACTGTCGCCTGCTAAGGTGCAGCTGACCACCGGGAGCAGGAAAGCTATTAGCATCCCGCAGTAATGGGTGTAGTGGTTTTCAAACACTGGTGGACACAATGTGGACTCAGCAAAGTTTCTCCTTCAAGAAAAATATAGCTTCTATTTCAAAGAGCTCTGATTAGGCTTAATACCATTAGGAAACCATCAAGGATTTGTGTTGTTGTTACTGCTTTTAACTATCAGTTACTTTCTAAACCAAAAATTGTGGGTAGTTAAGTTGACCGGCAGTCAAGGTTTAGGAATGCAGGAGCAAATCCAAGGTACAGACGAGCTTCAGATGTGGACAGGCCTCAAGGAGTTTGGAAGCTGTTTAGGTTGTCAGGTCATAGCCTTCTCATCATCACCATTATCACTGTTATGACTTACTCGTCTGGCATTTACAAATGAAAACTCATTTCCTTCATCACATGCAACCTGAAAAGCACTAATACTACAATTTTACGAATCCTCTGTAAGCTTTATTAGTGGCAATGTAAATCAATTAGAATAAAAAAAAAATTAAACTCTACTTAATGAATATATTCTCAGCCACTATTAACTGCCAATAACATAGTCAGTAGATGGCTGTTTAAAAAGTCAATAATATTAGGTCCCTTTGTATATTAATTACCAAAAATACAACTCTTTTCAATTTCCATTATACTTGAAAGTACAAATATAAATTAAATAAGGTTCAAAAGACCACATACAACAAAATAGTCTATAAAACAAAGCGAATTTTAAAAGAATTGTTCAATTTACTTTGTAGCATTTATTTTATTATATGAAATTATTTAAAACAGTACATGTTTTCTTTATCATACATGAAAGTTCACATCCAGATGTCTTTTCTATGAAATCCTTACTCTTTCTCCATAGTCAGAATCTGAATGTTCACTCCTGCCCAGATTTCTCTTCCTTGGCAATTCTTTTTGTTATCCCACTGAAATATTTCTCACGGAAGGAATTATGACCTTGGTATGGCAGAAACTGATCACTCAGCAGATGTGAATACTGGTCCCGGTTCTGGTTGGTTGGAAAATACAGAAAATAAAGATGTCTAAGTTAATTTCTCTAGTTAACTTACAACCAAAGCAGTCATTTACTTTACACAAAATCTCACTCTCTGGTGTACATTTGATTTTCTTTTTTTAATTACCTGAATTAGAAATATGTCACCACTTTACACTTGCTTGGGTATCAAAAGTGTTTTCACCTACTTCACCTCATTTGATCCACACACTCGTCTGCACAGAGGAGAAACACCTGTGCTGAGAAGGCAGCCCCAGAGAGGGCAGAGCACCATCCCAGGTGACGCGAGTTCAGACTACAATGTGCATCTTCTGATCCCAAAGGTATATGACAACAAATTATTGCATTTGTATAATGCCATACAGATGAATCCAGCTGTTGAGAGGTACACCTATATCCAGTCAATAAAATAAACTATACCTGGCAACTTAAAGTTACCACAGTAAATGAAGACACAAGCTAAACAAGTGATTTCCCCACATTTAGAATTCAGAGACAGGTAAGGGCTAATGCTGAGACCGATATTTGGATGTTGTAATATCGATCTGGATGAGGATGTCATATTTTCAAGCTTAGAAGACAGAGAAAAACACTGAATATCAACTTCTGGTCCAATTTCACTAGCCATCTCAAACCATGAAAAAATCTAATTAGGAATTAAATCTCATTTCCTAGGTACTTCTCTAAATTTATATCTAATTGCATGTGGGTTAATGTGATTTTGAGAAAAAATGTAGAGACAATGAGAAAATATGAAGCCTAATTTTTTTATCCTGCTTCAGTATCAAATGGTATCTACAAACACACCTGGAACACAACAATCCTTAAAATCTTTTTACATTTTTCCTTATTCCTGTATAGGATGCATATCTTAAACCTTTCCCTCATCTCTAACATTAACAAAAGCCCAGGTATTGCCAAAATAAAATAAAAGTATTAAATATGCCCAGATTTCCTGATTCATAAAAAGAAAAAGCTAGCTACTTGAATTTTATGGCACTAACTATATTACAGTTCAAAATTCCTGCAAGCACATGAAAACATGACGATGGTTACTAACTTCAGGCTACAGAATCCCCAAAAGAGAAAGGATATATTTTATCTGTTCAACCTGTAGGTATACAATTAATAAATACCAAAAGAAAGGCAGTATTTAATGGGTATCTATTATAGGCCCAAATCCATACTCAATGCCTTCTATGCACCATCTAACACATACAAACCAGCTCTCAGAGAGAAGTACACTATCATCACCATTTACAGATCAGGAATTATTTAGGAGAACAGGTCCAAGGTAACATAGCTGGTAAATGACAGAGCTAGAATTTGAACACAAGTATATTTGACCCCAGAAACTACACTGTTAACTGCAACATAATAAGGGTTTCTCCCTCATTAAAAGAACTAACTTTCCCCCCAACTCAAGAAGGAGTATCTCTGGGGATAAACAGGTGATGGACAAGACCTACCCAGAAAGAAACCAAGTGGATCAGAGGTACGATTAACTTATTGTTCTACCTGAAGATATATTTCAGTGACACAAATGTTCATACCAGGAAGAGATTTAAGGAGCCGTAGGAATGCCAGAGGGACTCCACAGCCCTAGGAGTGCCGTCGACCTCAGAGGACGACTCCAGGCTGGTCCTCACGTCAGGACTACACGAGGGGGAGCCGCGACACAGAGCAGTGTTCCTTATCAGCCTGGGCTTCTGTCCTTCGACTCTGAACAAGTCTGACGGAGGAGTTATATGAAAGGGGGGGAGGGCATGCCTCCTCTGCCTCTCTGGGTGTTCTAAACTCTGTCCTGTACCAGATAAGATCGCTGGAAGATGTGTCTACTTCCTGAACTACGTTAGCTCAATCCTAGAAGAAATGTCTTCACGTGGTTCTATTTAGAAGCTAAGTTTAGAGGCTGACATCTCTCCTCACAGCTCTCTCCCTCATTCTCCACCTAGTCATCAGAATAGAAACCCGGGTCAAATCCCTGTCTCCGTCTGACACTCGGTCAGTCTTAGACTCTTAGACTCTGCATCCTAATGATCTCAAGTCCCCGTCTCCTCTCACCACAACTCTGTTCTCCATTAAGCCTTCCTGATCTCTCCTTGCTTTTCCCACAAATGGCCAATTGCTCTGTCTAATATTAATAAATACAAATCTAATATGCCAGAATTTCTGGCTAAAATCCAGATGTGTTTAAACTTCCCCCAATTCTGAAGCTTTCCCTTAAGGTCTGGAGGTAGATTCAAATGCACATCAGTTTGCTGGATGTCCTCTCACTTCCGCTCCTTCACACTGTCAGGCAATAAGGTCCTCCCCAGCTTGGCCCTTCTGTCCTCTCCCCCTGAGACTCCTCCAGGCCATGCACAGTCACCACTACTGGACATGACTGCGGACTGCTTCAGGCACTGACTCAGAGCGGCAGTGGTAAGGAGGATGCACCAGGACAGAAACGCAGGACTCCAGCGTGCAAGCTTGGAAGGCAGAGCACAGGAAGACAGCCAAGGACAGGCCGGGGACTGCTTGGGCTCCGCTGCTTGCATGCCCAGCTGGCCAACGCTGCTGATTATGCAGTTCGCCAGAGGAAGCAGGAGACAAAAGCAAAAGCACAATGGAAGGCAGGTCCATTGGACCAAAGAGAGAACTTAACAAAACAGCTTGTCTCTGACCATGAAGATATAAATAAGGGCAAACTGGTGATAAAGAACAGAGAATTATAAAGATCAGAGTCAGAAACGGGGAATGAACAGAAGAAGCCTGGAAAACCCACAAGTAATGATTAAAACGTATGCTAATTAACAGCTGTCTAGAAAACATGTCCATACCACCTATCACATTCTTGTCTAAATAGCTTAGAACTCAAGATTCCCTGAGAATAAAGTAAGAACAAAAATAAGCCCCTAACAGACCATGGGTTGAGTTCTACAGAGACCCAATCAGTGGCGGAGAAAACACACTGCTGGTAAAGTTGGAAAGACGATCAACCTTAGAAATGAAACCTTGGGGAGAAACCCTCTTTTCTGTATCTCCCAGGGAGTAGAGAAAAATCCCCTGAGGTATGTGTTTGAGTCCTGTGCTGGAACACTTCCTCCTGTAGGACTGACTGCCCCCTGACTGTGAAGTAAGATGTTATAACAAAAACTCCTGGAGAACCAAAAGCTCCAAATCCCTTGTGCATGTAGCCAGGGATCTGGCAAGGGCCATTCTGTTACCTAGCAGCATGAGTCCTGCGGCCGAGTAAGCCAGATACCCCTCGGACTCTGGCCACCGTTTCATCTAAGTGGAAAAGCCATGGTTCCTAAACATGTTCCACATGAAATATTCAGAACATTTATGGTCTAATGCGTATTATCACATATGTACCATCCATGTTACTATCATATACCTAGGAACGATACACATTTCAAATATAACCTGGTCCAGATGAAAATATACTATTTGTAACATTCAGAATTTATGTTACCTCAACGCTGAAGAAAATAGCAAACTTGTTTTTTTCCCTGTCATCCTATCTTTAGTTTATTTACCAGGACTCACACTTGAGACGATGATATTCAACTCCACATATTTTTCACCACCTTTTCATGCCTCTTCTCTATTTGCATTCCCTGCCCATCTCAAGCAGGAATATCTGCAGATTTCTTTTTCAACTCACTATCTCGAAGGCCAAAGTGCTTACTTAAAAGGACAAGAGTATCCTCAGGCAGCGCAACCCTTGATGTCCCCCGTTAACTCGAGCCTGTCCTGGTCCCAGGGTGTGCCTTCTGGTTTTCCTAACACTTCCAAATCTGTCTCCCAGTATCTCTGTGTGTCATAAGCCCTGAGTTCTACCAATTTCTAGTAAATAAGAAATACTTCATGGGAAATAAAAACACACAAAGAATTAGGAAATGCCAAGAAAGAAAACTCTGGAACTGAAAGGCTGCAGACCAACTTCGTCAGATTTCATAACTTCTGGTCAAATTTTGGAACATGGTAGTAGTTGAAAAGATATGAATAAAATACTAAGATCAATGATTACACTATTGTTTATCATTCTTTCATAACGAGAAATTAAGGGTTTCTGTAGGAAAGTCTAGGCTAGCTACAGATGGCTTCATAATGGAAACATACAGCTTTCAGACCTATCACTTAACCTTGTAAGACAAACAGCAATTGTAAACATGACAAGAACTATACAAGTCCTGATTCAAGAAAGCAACTAAAAATATTTACAACTATGTGTTTTCTACAAATCGATTATTACATTTTCTGCATCTTTTCACAGCAGATTTTATCTCCAGTTTGCAGATCAGGAAAGGGAGACCACCACCAGTCACACAGCTAGTTAAGTAGCATTGCCAGAATTGTAGCCTCGTCAGACTTCAAAGCTCATGCCTTTTCCATCACACTTTTTCTTTTTTTTTAGCAGAAATTACATCAAAACAATGGTTAAAGAGTTAACTACCCACATAGTAGATTAGTGAGTTGTTGAAAATGGAGTTTGACATGTAGAGGACATTCCTCACTGAACAGCAACATTATGGTAGCAAATATTTCAGATCTAAACTTTTAGACAGAACCCCTTTAACCACTGTCCCACCCAGCCCATTTCCTGTCCTATCAGTGCTTCTAATTCTAAACATAAACCATTCGAGGAATTTTAACACACTTGCCAAAGAAACCAAAGCCTTACAAACTGTAGTGGACTCACAAGCGTACACTGCCCTCTGCTGGCAGACGCAGATACAGCCTTCTCTATAGTAAATGACTGCTAGGGATCAAGACACTTTGAAAAAGAGCTGACCATACCACTGACAGGAGCACTCTCTTTCCCTCACTGTTCCCATCCTGACTACTGTACACATCTAGAGTCACAGAGGCTACTTTTCTTCAAGGAGCATTTATTCACACCATTTCATTCTCTAAAGAATGATGTGGAAATACACAATACATATTCACCTTGGTGACTCTGAAGTGTATAACTGGTATCTACGTCCAACCTAGAATTACAAATT